GAGGACTCGAAGAGATACACAAAAGCAAACGCCAAGGATATCATTGCTGTTGGATTCGATATGAAGAAGACCTTTATCTTCAGTGATTTCGAATTCATTGGTGGTGCTTTTTATGAGAACATGTGCCGGATGGCAAAGAGAATTACAATCAACCAGGTCAAGGGCACATTCGGGTTCAACGACAGCAACAACATTGGCGAGTTCCACTTCTGTGCCACCCAGTCCGCCGCGGCCTTCTCTACCAGTTTCCCCCACATCTTCGGCACCGAGACGAAGAAGGTCGCATCGATTCCTTGTTTGATTCCATGCGCCATTGACCAAGACCCCTACTTCCGCCAATGCCGCGAACATGCAGAGAAGATGAAGTTCAAGAAGCCCTCTCTCATTCACTCTATCTTCCTTCCCGCACTTCAGGGTCCTGGGTCCAAGATGTCCGCCAGTATCGACAGTTCCGCCATTTTCATGAGCGACACGCCTAACAAGATCAAGAACAAGATCAACAAGCACGCTTTCTCAGGTGGCCAGGACACCGCGGAGTTGCAGCGCGAGCTGGGCGGCAACACCAAAGACGATATCCCATTCCAGTACTTGACATTCTTCCTCGAGGATGACGAGGAGCTGGAGCGCATCCGCACTGATTACGAGAGTGGAAAAATGATGACCGGCGAGATCAAGCAGAAGTGTATCGCTGAGCTTCAGGCTTATGTCCAAGGGTTCCAGGAGCGCAGGGCACAGGTTACAGATGAGATCATGGCCGAGTACATGCGTCCTCGCCCTCTGGAGTGGAAGGGGAATCCCAACCCAGTGGTGGTCGAGAAGGCCAAGAAATAAGCCCGGAGGGAGGGGCATTTTCCCGAGCACCGAAGTTCGAAAATACGTATTATTTCATAGCCTTTTCATCAATATACCAATACCATTCAAATATTGACGAGTCCACATATGTACCCATCGCAGTAGGCGTAAGTACACATTCTGTAGTATGGGAAATTCTTACTTGGCTATGACCTGGCCTCGAATGAACCCCCTTACGCCATTGCTCAACCAACAGAACTCGCCGTCCACAAGCTCATCCCGGTATATGGTGTGTTCTAGGCAGAAACCCTGAGATAACGCATACCTCCGGGTTGTACCTGCATTGCCGCCGCTGCTCAACGGGGGCGTGATCCACATATGGTCCCGCAAGAAGTAGGGCGTAGTGATGCTGCCTTCCATAACTTCGTCATTTGGGTTCAGAACCAGTACCTCCGCGAGGTCTGTCGGTGAATTAATTCCCGCTCTCAGCCGTGCAGCCGCGTAGTTATCACGCGCGGTGGTTTTATGTGTGGTGAATCCGGAAGGAATTGTTGATTCGGTATCGACATAGACGCGCCATATCGGTGGGTTTGGGTTCGTATGTAGAGAGGGAATGAACAAACTCATTAGATCAATGCTCGCTGTTGCATTTGCCTCGACTCTCGCCTTCCCTTGGCTGTTCAATACAACCCGAAGCCTCCATGCTTTGCTTCGGTCCGCAATTGACGAGTCAAGGAATTCCTCAAAGCCTTGCAAGTCTTGTTGCAGCCAGGTTAGGGCCCCTTTCCATTGGAAATGAGCCGCAGCAGCTATGAGCCGGTCTTGGTGATAGGCGAGGAGGTAGTAGGGAGACTTGTGTGGATCAGGATAGCTAGCTGCATGGCGACAGGCCGCGTCTGGAAGGCCCGGGTCAAAACGAAGGGAGGAAATGATCTCGAAAGACTGTGGGCTTGAAGAGGTCTCGGTCATTTTTGCGAAAGTCAATGGCTTACTGTCGTATCGTTGCTGTAGTCACTAAGTCAGTCTTGTTAAGTATTAGATGAATCCACGCGACGTTGGTTCAGACGAAATGCGAAGACGAAAGGTGAGAAGAATACAAAAAGACCCGACGAGCCAGCTCTGTTCAATCCGGACATGTGTTGTGGAGAACTTGCGTGTTACCGGCGCAGCGCGCGTGATTGGCCGGCCCAGCCAGCGGAACCCTCGACTTTTCCTCTGAGCTTCATCATTCCCGAACTTCCCTATCTCTAACTCCTTCTGTCGAGGTCTGGTTAGTAGCCCCTTTGTCTTCCATCTCAGTCTAATTGCGCCCGACTTACCGATTGAATACTGACATCTGCACATTCAAAGAACTAGCAACGTCGGTCCCTGTGCTTGGTTCCCTTCCCTACACATCATGTCGAACGAATTGCCTTTACCTACGTCCGCCCGAAATGTGGTGCTTGATACATCAAAGCTGACTGAGTCATCATCGGCATCAGTCTGGGATCGCATCACCAACTGGGTCTCAGACAACAAGGCCGTTGTTTACACCATTGCCGGTGTTGCCGTTGTCGTGACCGGCGCGGGTGTCGTCTACTACCTGAACGATTCCAGCAAAACCACACCCCCAGCACCCAAGAAGAGCAAGAACCAGCGACGGAAAGAAAAGAAGAAGGCTGAGGAGGAAAAGGCTGCATCGGTGAAGGATGGTATGTGTTCTTGTTTAAACACGGTGGTAGTATGACTGACAGGGTTCCAGAGTCTCCTAAAAAGGCAGAGGAAACCACTGAGGAGCTTCCCGAAGTGGACGAGGCGACTGTTGGACAACTCTCTGAAGAGGTACGTTAAGCAGTGTTCTTTCTCACACTTTCGCTGACAAGTTAAGACCCGGAACGCCTATGCGGCCAAGCTGAAGGCTGCCGGTAACAAGGCCTACGGAATCAAAGACTACCCCAACGCGATTGAATTGTACGGCAAGGCCATTCTCTGCAAGCCCGACCCCGTCTTCTACTCCAACCGCGCCGCGTGCTACAATGTCCAGTCCAACTGGGAGAAGGTCGTCGAGGACACCAGCGCCGCTCTCGCCATGGACAGCGAATACGTCAAGGCCCTCAACCGAAGAGCCATTGCGTATGAGCACCTCGAAAAGTACAGCGAGGCTCTCCTCGACTTCACAGCCAGCTGTATCATTGATGCCTTCTCCAACGACGTGAGCCGCAACTCGCTCGAACGGTTGCTGAAGAAGGTTGCCGAGAAGAAGAGCCAGGCTATTCTGGAGGCGCGCACCAAGAAGTTGCCTAGCGCCACCTTTGTCTCCAACTACCTCCAGAGCTTCCGTCCCCAGGCCCTGCCCGAGGGATTGGAGGAGTCGGTTGAGTTGAGCGATGAGTCTGGCAAGGGTCAGCTGCGTAAGGGTCTCATCGCTATGGGCAAGAAGACTGCCGATGGCTACGAAGAGGCTGCCGCCGCTTTCGAGAAGGCACTTGAGCTCGGTGAGCTCGGCGAATTTGAAGGATTGGCCCTGAACATGCGAGCCACCTTCACCTACCTCGGCGGTAACGCGACTGGCGCTTTGGTCGACCTGGACAAGAGTGTCGAGTTGTCACCGTCCCTGGTTCAGAGCTACATCAAGCGTGCCAGCTTGCACCTGGAGCTTGGTAACAAGGACGCTGCGGCCGACGACTTTGAGCTTGCCATTACTCACAACAAGGACGACCCCGATATCTACTACCACCGTGCCCAGCTGCACTTCATCCTGACCGAGCTCGCCGAGGCCGCTAAGGACTACCAGAAGTCCATCGACCTTGACCGGTCGTTCATTTACTCACACATCCAGCTTGGTGTCACACAATACAAGATGGGCTCCGTCGCCTCGGCGATGGCCACTTTCCGCCGCACAGTAAAGAACTTTGAGGAAGTCCCCGATGTATACAACTACTACGGCGAGCTTCTGCTTGACCAGCAGAACTACTCCGAGGCTATTGAGAAGTTTGACAAGGCTGTTGAGATGGAGAAGCAGAGCAAGCCCATGGGTATCAACGTCCTGCCCCTGATTAACAAGGCTCTTGCTTTGTTCCAGTGGAAGCACGACTTCCAGGAGGCCGAGAACCTCTGCCAGAAGGCTCTCATCATTGATCCCGAGTGCGATATTGCCGTCGGAACCATGGCCCAGCTTCTCCTTCAGCAGGGCAAGGTTTCCCAGGCTCTCAAGTACTTCGAGCGCGCTGCTGAGCTGGCTCGCACCGAGGCTGAGATCATCAATGCCATTTCCTATGCCGAGGCCACCCGCACCCAGTTGGAGGTTCAGGAGAAGTACCCCCAGCTAGCTGCCCGCCTGAACACCATGGGTGCCATGGGCGGTGGTGCTCCTGGCATGTAAGCAAGTCATTACACCATCTTTGCTCTTCACTTCTTCGCTTCTTTCTTCGCCCCAGTTTGGGTATTCCTGTCTAAGCCATTTTCTCTTCCGGCTTCGGTATCTTTGGATCCCCGGTTCTCTTCCCCCCGCATGTATTTACTTTTGGTTGACATATTCCCCGTCCGCCTTCTTTTCTTTTCTTTTTGTTTTGTTGCTGGGTCTGTCTGAGGATAAGACTCGGGATGGGATGGGCCGATGGACGGCAAACCGAGCCCGGGTAAGTGCATTGGGGTCTGACCATGTAGTAATTTGTGTACCATAGAGGAAAATGAGAATGCTCATTATCAGATTAACCTACAAAATACTTCCGAGGTTGTCGTTGTCTGTGAAGTACTCCATAACATCGTATTGCATACATAGTTCGCCCTAGTGGGCGGATGACCATGACGTGTGTCCCCACATCAGCTGACCCCACCCCTTATCGGCATCTCCGGACTATGTTTTTCTTTCTTATGTCTCGACGAAGAAGAAAGGGAGTAAATTGCCAAAGGTCCACTAAGTAAGTTGATATATCCTCTATCTATTTAGCCGGTCTGTGTCCAGTAGGGAAGTTCTGTTGAGCCAGGGTATATGCGCGTTGAAATAAGGCCAACGGCGTCATTTGCTTATCTTATACTATCACTTCTCATACATACCTCATTGTTCCTCAGCTTCCGGATACTTTACTTCTTAGTGTGTTATTGAATCTTGACTCCTTAAATTTTGAATAGATTAGCCAGTAACTGAGGATCAAGTTGAGTTCCATTTCAAAGGGGTTTCCCACACCCAAACGCCGTTGTCAGCGGTGAACCTAACTTCGACCTTATTCATGAACCTACCCCTCTTCCTTCCCTTTCCCTTCCACACCTTCTGTGCTTTAAACAACTTTCCATATCTGCTGCTCCGCGTTGCTCTGCTCGCAAACTACTTTTCTGCAATAGATCTGCCATCTCCCTGGCTGTCTCAACTGGTCCATGTGATCGTGTTGCAGCCTGGAAACACCCGGGTACGCTGCCTTTGTCTCCAACTCCCTTAACCTCTTGCCCCCCCCACCCTTCATCTTCCCATGCTTTGTTATTCATTCTACCTGGCTGTCATCATCTCTCTTATCGGAAATGGGGTTCTATCTCTCAGTCTAACCATCGTCTAGAAACAAGCAGATTCCTATTTCTACTTTCCAGATCCCACATAGCACTATTGCTGATCTATCTTTCACCATGTCGGACCCACGCGGTAAGTACTCGGATATTCTAACAGTCACTTTGCTTGCAACTGACACCCTGAATTCACAGTCACCGTGACGCTCGTCCCCCTTTTCGACGATACCCACCCTCTACGTACCCTCACCATCACCGACAATGATAAGACCGTGGCCATCGGACGTGCCTCAAAGCGTGAAGCTCGAAAACGGAACCCTGCAGCAGAGAACGCTTGGTTTGAGTCTCGGGTCATGTCTCGTGACCATGCCTTTCTTAACATACCGTCGGACCAAAATGTTAGTTTGAGCCTCCAAATCTGACTGTATAGCTTAGTTGACATCCTTATAGATGGTTTTCATCGCCGACTGTGGCTCAACACACGGAACCTTCTTGAATGACAGCAAGCTGGTGACAGATGTGAATACCCCACTGTACAGTGGAGATATCATCCGATTTGGTGTCGATGTCGACCGTGGCCAGGGTAAGTTAGCCATCTGAGTCCAGTGGTACTGGAACTAATCAAGTACAGAGGTTTTTGAGGCCATTGAAGTCCGCTGCAAGGTCGAGTGGCTCAAACCCCATCCTGTTGCCATTCCAGATGATGGTATTGCTGTCAAACTGGATCCGAGTCCGTCAACCAACAGTTTCTGTGTCCCCGAAGATGAAAGCGATATGGAGGCTGCCGACAACGCTAGTGATGACTCTTCTAAAGAGTCCATTGCTCGATCTTGGGACAATCCTGCTCTGCAGCCTGTGGATACGTCTCTAGTTTCTCCTATCTCGAGTGTCCAGAGTGACGAACATTCAAAGGACGAGTCGGGCGTCGTTTCCGGACGCCTGTCTCCCACCGAGGAGCCCATCAAAGAGGTTATGCCTGACGCTAGAACACTGGCCCAGGATCTTCTTAGCCCGCTGTCTGATACCAAGCCGGTCTCCGACACTAAACAATCTCTCACCAAACCTGCCTCTACCGAACTTGCATCTGCTCAACAAGCACATGAAGCAGATACCCTCCCTGCAGTCTGTTACCAGAAAGTACCCGAAATCCACTACAGCAACTGGACCATTATGCGGCCTATGTTCATGCGCCTGGCAGACATGGCTTGGGGTGAATCCAACATGATACCCGACATCGATCACGACAGGCGCATTATCCACGCTACACGCCGTTGTTCTGTTTCCAAAGATGCCTACTGGGTAGACGACTCCCCTAGCTTCCGACCTTGTATTGGAACAGAAGTTTATTGGGAGCCGGACTCGGAGGCATCAGACACATCGTTCCACCGTATGCCCGGCAACCTTCTTAGGTACTGGGCAGTCGATAAGCGAAGATATTGGATCATCTATGAAGACGAAGGCGACAAGCAGATGAGCAACTGGGTGTGGATCATTGAAAAGCCACTGGAGCTTCTCAGCGAGGAACTGAAGCACCAGCTTGAGACTGAAGCCGAGGTTGACGACCGTCACAAATGCTGGGTCGTGAGGGCCTGGAAGCCCCAAATGATCGGAAATCGATGGTGCGATGTTGCTCCTTACTGGGATCCGAATTTCGATGAAAATTGGCTCTGTGATGACGAGTCCGTTGATTCAGACGAAGAAGCCGAGGGAAGTGAGGGGTACATGTCTGAGTCAGATGGTCTAAGTGATTCGGTCTCAGAGAACTACCGCGACTATCCATATGGGATGTTCGACAGCGGATCGATCCATGGAGATGGCTGTGAAGTGTCGGCAGAAGACTCCGGGGAAGACAACAAAGAAGAAGATTGTGACGAGGACTTCGAGGAAGATGATGAGGTCTCTGATGAAGCCGAATACGAATACGGAAACGAATCCGAGTGTTCCTCTGAGAATGAGCGTCTTGGACACCCTATTGCGCAGAAGCCTGATCTCCCTTCCTTGCTTGATTTGGAGTATGCGAAGGGACTTGAATGTGCCAACCACACTGATGCCGTCGAAGTGTCCAAGCATGTACCTGAGGAGGATATCCTATCCTCAGGTACTCTCCAGCGATTGTTGCAGTGGGCTCATGAGGCCCAGTCACTGGACTCCGCACGCAACGAGAGCAACACATTGATGACACAGACTGCTGCTGGTATAACAAACCCCGGTGCTCGGTTCCCGACACACGCTGTTTCTGGTGAGCTGCCAAGTTCATGTCAGAACAAATACCCACCAATGCAACGGAAGATCGAGAGCACTGTTGGGTTGCCGTCCATATCCCATGAATTTGAGAATTGCTATCAGGATGGACCGTTCTCGACGCTCACTCCCATGCAAGAGCTGGCAAAATCGAGAATATCAAAGTTGAAGCGTACTGCAGCAGAGATGCAATCGTCGTCTGTTGAACCCGGCTTTTCTCAAGATGCTCAGCGGCTGCCTGTAGACCCAGCCAGCCAGCCAGATTCCGACCTTAACACAATTCCCTCTGAAGCTAAGGATGCGATCAGCTCTGCACTTGCCGAGAACGACTCCGCGTTTGCTGAGAATGATCGTCCGGCAAAGCGAATCAAGTCTAATCACCCAACCTCAAAGTCCTTGGCAAGCCACGCCACCACGGCTGTTGTCAGCGCTTTGCTGGGTGGTCTGGGAACTATCGCTGCGCTCGCAGCCTTGCCCAATGAATACTTCCAGTGATCGGGGTCACTTAGTTTCGGTTCGTTTTGCTCTCTGCCCTTTGATATTTTATGATTTAACGCACATGAGTTTCGGCGTGGTTCCAACGATTTGATGATCTCGGGATTACCCAGGCGTTCCTGGCTTTGCGTGGAAGGACGGATCAGGGTGCTTGTTTCTCTCCCTCTCCTACTGGGCGTTTTATTGGCTGGATAATTTGTTTCTGCCCTATTTCTTTGCTTTTCCCCCTTTAACTGTGGTGCACGACTATTACCTGGGTCAGATACGGCGACTCTAAGATGGGACGCCACGTAGCGCCTTCTTTTCCATGTGATAGCTATGCAGATCGTAATGGAGAATGACAATCCTTTATTTTTTTGACGAAGTATCATGTAATCCTCTAAACCACCCGTGGACCTCGTGGTCTCTAGGGCTACATAGAGCCTTTTAGCCTGTCAGGTACCGGTTTTGGGTAGCCTTGGGTGGTCTCGTTTAAAAATGCACCGTGATATCATTCTACTGTCGAAGGTCATTCTTGGCATGGAGTTCATTTTATGCTTCAGGTAATCTGTTCAGTTCCGAATTTCGGAGAATACGCAGTATCTGATGGTCTCCTATTGTACAGTGCTACTCAACTCTTTATATCTGCATATACAACTTATCCTAAATTGCTTGACAGCAAAAGGAGATACCTGTCTCATTCCCACTAGACATGGACAGGAATATTCCCTCGAAGAAAAAGTGACCCAGACTCACCTCTTGCAGCGACAATGGGAACCGGACTGCAGGTATCCTATAGGCTCATGTCAGCTGACTTGCAATTGAGTCGCTCTTTTTCCATTACGTGCAACCTCATAATTTCTTTTTCCTCTTTTCCCCCGGCATCCTCGGGGTTCAACCGTGACACTAATTGCCGAAAGACGATTTGCAACCGTTCTGGTTCCAGGACAACCTTCGGAAGTCTCAGCTCTTTGAGACATCAATGGAAACTTCTCCGTTGTAATGGTTGACGCAACTTGCCGCCCATGCGAAGCCTCGACTCCAGCCCGACTTCAAACCCTGGACTTCGAATCCTGGTCTAGCGTGTGATTGGAAGTGGCTGGCTGCAGGTGTCCTCCCCAACAGCGAACTGGTTGAACAAGCCCATGGAGTTTGGAATAGCTTTCTCTTCCATACAGTATGATCAATCAGAGGCTGATATATTTAGTATACGAATCCACCGCCCCGCCTAATGACGCGCATACCCGTTGCTTCTATCTGAACTTGTATTTAGGTTACATTGATCTTTTGGCCGATGGCAGACCGCATACAGACCCCAAGATGAGTGCATTCATTTGAACTGTTCAGTGTCATTTCCACATTCAGTCTGCATGTGACCAATCTGCAGAAGCGCTTCAGGTCAGATCATACAATGAATTCGAGGTAAAGTCGAACGGCGGCAAGGAATCCTTGTAATGAAATGAGAATGCTAAAGGGGTTTTCTAGGCCTTTTACCCCTGTCCTTGCAGGCCCCTCCGCGGTTACCTGCTTGAGGCTAAGTGTCACATCCACGGCGCTTCGGGCTTGGGGCTGTGTATGAACTGCCATTGGCTGTGACTCCAAATTTCAATTTCTCCTTCTTTATGCTTATTGGTAGCTCATACCTCTCACAGGGCTTTCTTTTCCACCTCATATTACAACAGTTCTTTTTTTCCCTTTCTTTTCGGATTCCTTTATGTCGACACCACATGGGCTTGTCAGATGCATCCGCTTTCTCCGGTGTCTATCGGAAATTGTCCTTACGAAGCATTATTATAAATCCATGGATATGATATGATTATGAAGATCGTTGCATCGATTCGATCCCTGCACGAGATCGTCACCACGCGTTCTCCTTCCTGCTCACGGCTACACCTGAAAGCGTACTCCGTTTAAGCCCTCAAACACTGCTCCTAATCCGGTATATGCTAAGCGAACTGGGCTGGTGACCATCTGACTGTCAATTCCAACTTCCATGCATGGTACTTTACTTTATTTGGTTGAGATGGAAAGATCATCCCATATGAGGAAAATACGACCAGAGCTGACGAGAAGGTCCACCACGGGGGAGAAATCCATCGACAATCCACCCAGCATGGCCCCTATCATCTATACATCATCTCGGAGATCAGATCATGGTCGCATGGTCGAATGCAGCTATCCGTGGTTGGAATTTCACGTCTCATACTCGTGGCTATGTCAACAGTCCCAACTCGGAAGGATAATCGTATACAGGTTTGTGCGGTCAAGATTCGTTGTATCACGAGGTGGCGGCCATGCTCCTAGGACATCTTTTCCGCTGCACATGAACGACTCTCTGTCAAACGATAGATCGAGCTTTGATTTGCCAATTTGATGATATTCTGGTTTCACCGCAGGTCTTCTGCTCTAAAAGTCCTCTCACTGAATGACCAGCGAATGAACCCTTCGCAAAACGTATGAACGACGTAGGCCCGGTCGTGTGGATCGAGAAACACCATCCCCCACCAGCTCCTGTTTCAGAAACCCTGCATTTCCGCAGCTGGCTACCTTAGCTTGACAGGCACAAGCAACTAGGCAGCGGGGTTTGACAACTCAGCCAAGTCCAGAACGGTTTCCGTGCCGTTCCCCTCTTCTGTTGGATCTATTTTTCCTTTTTACTCGGGAATAACCGAAGGATTCGAGTGAAATGGCCCCCGTGCGTGTAAATGAAATATCCACGTACATCATGTACCTGGCTACTGTCCTATCACCGTCTCTCTCTCTGTCCTGCTGATCATCCCGGTGGACTCAATCCTCATTCCCGTCATAAATTCCACGCTCCGCTGTGCATATCGCATATGTGACACTTGGAAACTCTCGGGAACTTCGTTGGTGGAACTGATAATTTTTTTCCTGTATAAGAAATCCATTGTTTCTTCTGTGATTTCTGGCTTTATACCTTTGGCCTATACTACTGTCTTCCTTTGTCCCCAACTGCTCTTTCAGGGTTCACAATATATTGGCTAGTCTTTATTGTCCCCCTGAGAAAGACAAAGGATCAAACAGAAAGAATACCACAAAGCCACCTGCACTTTATATCAGGTGTATTCCGACTATACTTCACTCTCCGCATCTGCACCTTTTACCCTCTAATATTTCCCTCCTCTACACCTCTACATCCATTACAATGGCCAGTTCCACCCAGTCTTTATTCAACCTTGACCCGGCGCACATCGCATGCATCGGAGGACGGACGGTAGTTACATGCAAGGGTTGCGCAGGGAACGCCCCGAGGTATATCCCCGCAAAACAGCTATACCTACATCCAATGCTAACACGATGCCCAGAGGAACAATCTGCCTCGGCTGTAACGGTCGCGGCTTCAACATCTTCGTCTGTGCACACTGCAACCCCGCAGCTGCAGCAGCCGCAGCCAGAGCAACGGCGAACCCCACAGCTGCATCTGCAGAAACACCCGGCTCCTCGGCACCGTCATCCCCGGGCTCGCTAAGTCGCAGCTCATCGACTTCGCATCCTTCACATGCTGATCCGAGTGTCGCTCGGTCCTACGCAAAATATGGAGATGGTCGTGACAGTACGAGCTGTGGACGGATTGATAGCAATATACATAAATCGCGGAATCCGTGATCTGTGACGCTGGTTATACACATGAAGGATATCGGATCCGCCGAAAATGAGTCTGGATATCTCATGGCTCGGTCTCATATCCGACAGTTTCGCGGGCTGGTGTGATTGCCCGCTGCTTGTTCTAGGAGGTTGAATCACTCCTGGCAGATGAATAAGACTGCGGTTTGGAGGGACTGGAAGGAGTTTTGGGTCTGGTTTCATGAAATATTCGTGATATGGCGGCGACCTGGTTGTGGCTTTGCCTTTGGGATCGTTTTGCTTTTTATCTCTTGGGTTCTATTTGGTTGATCTACTCGGTTGATCCAGTATTCCTTTCGTCCTTTCATGGTGAATGCACTGGATGCTACCATATTATGCACATACCCTTTCTTTCCCTGGATGAAAGAAGTAGAGACCATGCTGTACACGAGGGATATCTACTTTCTTTTGTCTTGTGAGCATTTTTATTCTCAAAATTTCGATATATTCATATTATGCTTAGAATATATGCTCTAAATCTACCTAGGAACGTAGGCAGAACTTAGAATGTTAACATAAGAGTTGTCATAAAAGGCCAGGTGCTATAATACGTCTTGTGGCATCTATGTAGTTGGCGTAAAGTTCACACTAAAGCTGAGAAGGCTAACAACGCTGTTCAGAAGCTATTTAGTAAAGCAGGTACGATTGAATTGTCAGATATCTGGGGGCTTGTCAATAATAATGAGGCTACTGACCCAAACCTCCTATAGTTTTGGGGTATCGGTGCGGAGAGTCGCCATGGCCCTATATAGCCGATTAGCACCCTACGCCCAAAAGAATGAAGGAAAGCGAACACTAACGCAGTAGGATACCGAGTACCTTCGATTTGAACGTCCTCCACCAGAGCCCGGATCTCTTGTACCTCCCGATCACTCAAATGAAGGACTGCAGATGCCGCATTTTCATCCATTCTAGCAGGCGACTTCGTACCTGGGATAGGGATGATATCTAGACCTTGCGCGAGAAGCCACACGAGAGCAACCTGTGCCGGTGTGCTTCGATGAGTACCGGCAACATTTTCCAATGCGTGCAATAGCTTCAGAATGCTCGGGAAGTTTTTCTCTGAGTATTTTGGGTACACACGGCGCAAGTCGCCCTCAGGGATGTCTGTGTAAGATCGGAACTGGCCGGCCAGAATGCCGCGTCCAATAGGGCTGTAGGCCACGACAGTCACACCTAGCTCGCGACAAGTTTTCAAGATCTCCGAAGATTCGATATCGAGGGTGAAGAGACTGTATTCCATTTGAAGAGCAGAAATAGGGTGGACGGCATGCGCTCGACGTAGTGTGGCTGCTGAGACCTCTGATAGGCCGAGGTAGCGGACTTTTCCCTCTCTGAAAGAACAAACGGTTAGCAATCTTTCGGTTGGGTGGTTTTTGAGGTTGGGTCGACCTACTTCTTCAGTTCTACCATGGCTTCGATGGTCTTTTCAATAGGTGTTACCCCATCTACCCGATGGCAGTAGTAGAGATCGATAGTGTCCACGCCGAGTCTCTGGAGGCTCTTTGCACATGCGGCCTTAACGTACTCGGGATCTGACCGAAAAGTGTGTCCTCCTCCTGGCTGGCGCTGGAGCGCAAACTTGGTGGCCAGGAAAATGGCATCGCGCTTGCCAGATCGCTTGAACCATTCACCGGCGACATCCTCACAGTCGCCATAGATGTCAGCCATGTCCCAAAAGCGTAGCCCTGCAGCATGTGCATGTCCCAGAAGAGCTACTCTCTCGTCGAGGGTACCAGCTGGTCTGTAGAATCCGCTGATGCTTCCGAACCCGAACCCGACGGCTGAGACTTGGGGGCCATCTCTACCTAAAGTGCGGAAGGGAGCATGCATTTTGATGTAAGACTTACAAGACTCGAAAGAGAGGGGAAGAATAAATAGGTATTCAGGAATTAAAAGTTGTTTTTTAATAGCAGCTGACTAGAATAAGCACTATTCCCGTTCGGCTTCCCGACAATGGACTAGGAGTGTAGTTCATAAATATAAGAGAAGTAATAAGATCAAAGACTTAGATATTAGATACCTGTATTACATTCTTACATTCTAATTAGTATAATGCAAGAATAGTCGCTTATGCCGTAGTCTTCTTGGTCTTCTCAGATAGTCTTAGATAATCTTCTCCGATAGTCTTTCTATATGTCTTTTTAGTGGTCTTTTTTGGTAGTCTCCTTAGGTAGTCTTTTTAAATGAGTTCCAGTGATTTATGTCAGTTTGCTTGCTATAAAGCACCCCCCTCTCCTTTGCTCTTGTTTTCCTTTCTTCTTCATCTCTCCCTCTTCCTATCACTTCTGGCCTTCTTGCAGCTGTCGTTCCGCTGGTTGATAATCATGGGAACTCCTTCAAATGCAATGGATTCTCAACAGGATCATTGCCATCAGCGGGGCTGCCAAAGCTCGCTGTTGGATTGGGACACCGAAGATGAAGGTCCCAACATGGAGTTCGAAAATTTCGATGATGAGGATAAGGATTAATTCCCGGATGCTCGAGTTGGCCATCCATGGACTGCTTGCCATTGAGGAAGCATGCAGCTATTCTTACCTGAATCGCTACCTTCGGTCGCTTCAGCAGGTTTGCGCTCTTCTTAGCCGTTATCCTTGCCGCGTATGGCCACTTTTCGACATCTTGGTCATGTCATTCTCGGTGGCACAGTGTAAAAGGACTGGCAGGGATAGAATAGACATGCCGGGTTTATCACTCTACAGTGTGTAAGGAATCAGACTGCACATCCAGGTATTTTGAACGCGTCAAGTTCTTGCCATCATAGCTGGGATCTATCAAATACATATTACGAGTCACCTTGTAAGGAAATGAGCGTTATTTTTTCGAATTTCCCTTTTTTTTTGGCTAAGCTAATTTTGTGGGCGTTTTCTGTTCCATCATACTGAATCCATAATCCCGCCTATCCCTTCCCAGATACAAATATTAATTCAAACAGAAGAAGGTGTATGTAATGTAACAGCCATGTCCATCCTCTGATTTCTTGCCCTTCTTCTTCAATGCCCAGAAAGCATCAGTGCCGAACTTGGGACGCCTACCACTAGCAGAAGCCTCACCAGTAGCAGAACGAGCAAGATTCGCCGCACGACGACCAGCACACAACAAGGCATGAGAGCTGACCCCAGAACTAGTAGAGTGTTTACTCTCAGGGATTTCCGGAGGGAGACGAGTCATATTCTGGCTTCTTGAGAGTCGTTTTCAAGTGCTTTGAGCTGACAGACTTGGGCATCCCCAGAATATAGCTTCAGGATTTGGCGGCAGGATCAGTTCGCAAGACATGATCAGTCCATGGCTAGTTCTGGACGGCGTTTGGCTGGGGG